ATGCACTGAAAGTAGGCGCTAATTTGATGTACAACAGATCAGTGATTTAAACGCAAATGGCTTTTGTGATAAACTCCGTCACATTACGTTACAAATATGAAACAACACTTCCCGATGTGCGTCTTTTTATCCAAGAAAATCGAGAAAGCTCAACATTGCCGAAAGGTACACTGGGAAGAAGCAAATTGCGAAACATATGTGCTCATCGGTTATTCGTATTGGGCCGTGAGAAAGCCGTTGTAAGTACACCGATCTTGCCCTCTATTTAGGGTATATACGACTTCCATGACCGATTCCTTGCGTGCCGTTTCATTCATCAGCAAACCGTACGTCTTCAACCTTTCATGTTGAAACATCAGTTCATCATACAAGTCCCCTGCGCATTCCTCAATCCAAATCCCGGGAACTTTAAGAGATTTAACCTAAATAAAAAATGCAAAGCATGATTAGGTGATATTTTCTTCAGGTCATTTGTTAGTGAAAAACAAAATAGCACCCAATTACAGAACCAAATTTTACATCCTATAGAGATATCTTGCCTTCAATGGCCCAAAAATATTCACTTACAATTTCACAAAGATCCGGTGACGCAGGCCCAGTTATCCAAAATTCTACAAAAAGGAGACCTCACATAAAGTAAATTATTCACATGAAATATTTAGCACGCTATTCGATTTCAAATCTGTAAATAGTTGTGGTTGATCGGGGAAATTTGCGTCGTAACATGTTTTTCTCTGAAATGAGATATTTTTATTACCAAAAATCAGGCGCAAATCATGAAATGTTATCCGCTGTCAATTCACATAAACCGGTGTCGAGTTGGTTTCAGCAAAGCACACCTCGAAACCAGTCTTATTCCGTTAACATTTAAATAAAGGCGCTATAATTTTGTCCACAATCGTTACCGCATCAGACCGCAATGTTTAAAACTTGTTTTTACATGGAAATTTAATCAGACACAGGAATTTTTAATCTCTTGAGTGGAGTACATCGCATACCTGTTTCCAAAACGTCGGAAGTTGCAAGCCTTTTTTACAACTGTGCAGCTCCTGCTTGGATGACAGACATGTGAAAAGAAAACTCATCTGCACAATGCCACTGTCTGCATTTATAGAAGTGAGATGGTAATCTCATCCAATTGCTAGCGCGAAAGAACTGAGCATTTTATTCCTTTGTATAAGTAAATGCACTTTCAGTCCGCTAACAACAACGGGTAATAAGGAAGAACTCACGTTGATCGTTTTTAAACAGCCGTCGACCTGGTATATCTGAAATAAAAACAGAAAATATGTACTGAAGGTAACTATCTTCCGCCCATTCTGTTGTTCTTGAACACGGTGACCTTACACCTTAGTTAATGCAACAAAGAAAATAATCACTCGGCCAGTTCGCTTTGCGGCTTTCCCACAAAATGCTCTTACCAACAATAGTTGCGCAAGTTCGTCCATGTGCGTTTAGCTCGTCGTTTAAGTGCCATGACAGAACATCTGTTGGGAACAGTCTATACTGCCTGGCGATTATGGAAAGGTCCACTTGAACCGCTAGGATAGCCATGTTGTTGTACTTTTTCTCCAATCTACAACGAAGGAAAAGGCCCTCGACCCATTTTTCAGGTCTTTTTGCTTTAAGCTGTAGGAATTAAATGGATGCATTAAGGTCAATTTTCCCAAATGTATTTATAAAAAGTTCATATCAAATTTTGTAGCGGCAGATAATGCTTTAAAATATCAGCAACACAAGTTCATTGGAAACCAATCATTACTATATCTTCGGCGGAAACTCAGTGAATCATTAAACTGGTGAGCTTTTATCCACTTATCTTACATTCACTGTTGGGCACGGTTGCAGAATGCACTTGTTCATTTTGAACAACAGTAGCACCTGGCTATTGAAAGAAACTTGAAACAATTTGCTCGTGCTACATATTGTTACTCACGGCAGTTAATATGGACATTAGAGCGGCTTCGTTTGGAGAGGTTCAGCCGATATTACGTTTACACACTGCTAATGGTCTCCAACGTAACTATTCCTGATGGTAAACATGACGATAGGGGAAATGTTCTCCCTCATCCGTTGTAATTTTCCATCTGCACGTCGCACTTAAATTCGTTCGTGTTGTTTGCAAAGTGTTGATTAAGTGTTGGTTATAAAGCTGGTAGCAGTTAATCTAACGTATTCGTAAGTTGTCGCCTTTTGGCATTCAAAATTTAACTTCCCATAAGTTATACTCTAACCGTTTGATCTACGCCTATGATTAATAAATCCACTGACACACAGCGCAACTTCATATATCCAGGTATAAAGGTTCGAGCACAGGTCCCCAACATCAAAACCTGCTTTTTTCGGCCTACCAGTAAGCTGGATTATTGTGGTGAGGTTAATCTTTTTATTTGATCTGCTCCAGCGACGCCGGCGAAAGCATGAGAAAAGATAAACCACTTTTCATAACATTACCTTTGCCAACTTTTCAATTCCTGATACACAAAATCTAACGCGAGTGATCCTAGTGAAGTCCAAATAGGTGATCCCGTACTAAACGGAATAGTTATCGTCGCATGTCAAAATTTGGCAGGACACTTACATTGTAAACCGGCAACAGCAACTTCATCGTTGTCGTATGATGCGCCGCTGGTTTACACACGTTATAATTATCACTATATAAATCACCCAATAATTCAACTCAAAGAAGTTTTCGAAATCGTTTTTTGCTTGATTAAAAAGGCTATCATGTACATTGTAGTTTCACTAGAATGCGCTTTCTTCCTCCAGGAAATCCGTATTCAACTTCGTGAAACGTCGTGGGAAACTACCGACATTTTCACGCCTATCGAGAAATAGATAACGGAGAACATTCGAGCATGACTTGAACAGTGATAACCTGCACCACAAGCACACCGCCAGTGATTCGGAACTGCATGTCTTGGTCGTTTCCTAGGTGCTGACGATTGATTAAACGTGTAAATATTCCACCTTCATATTCCGTTCTTCCTAGAATAACCTGCGATTGATTAAACGTGTAAATATTCCACCTACTTTAAAGCTGCAATCTTCATATTCCGTTCTCCCTAGAATAACCTAATGGGAAATATTTTGGAATTCCTGAGGTTTCTCGTCAATTTCACGATGTAATTCCTGATGCATCCATGTGGAGATTATTACATGGAAACACATCTTATCTTTTTGAGGTAACCTTGAGCACCACGGGACTAGGAAACATAGCCATATATGTGATTTAGAAGGTGCCTTTTGTCAGGTGAACTGGATCCAATTTTAGTGAGAAGAATCACAAGCAAGCGTCACAAAGCTGCAGTTTTTCGGAATTGATCCAATTATTTTTGACTTTTTCCTCAGCCTGTTAGTTCATCATAATAACCTGATATGTAGCTGGCAGTTGGTTGAAAAAGCGTTAAACCGCGGCATATCCTAAGCGTTACAGAGGTGGAAAATAAAGTTATACCTGACATGTGAGTATTTATCTTAAGATTACTGACTAACCTGAGAGCATAGCTGGTGTTCCTCGAGCCACATTGCTCCAGGAAGTCTCATCCCCACGGATGCAGCTGGAATATAAAATTTCCTCATTTGTTGCTCGTGAAACAGTTGTAGGGTTAGCAATGATAAAGCAGTAAGCAGCTAAATTTTATTGCCTTGTTTGAGTTTCATCTACCCCCACGCCGCGGCGAGCACGCTGGTTCCTGTCTTTCATTTTGACTTTCAATCAGGCAGTTTATCGGGAATGTGGTTATGCACAAAACTTGTTCCAGTTCACCTAAACTTTCTAACTAATGACTTATTTAGACCGTAGCGAAAACTATTCCTATTTGGAAACTTGGATCGACGTAAGGATCTAGAGTGTGTTCTCAAACTGACCAATCTATTGTAGGATGTGCATGTTAAAGTCACCTTTGCTTATTCCAGGAAATTATTTAGACCGTAGCGAAAACTATTCCTATTTGGAAACTTGGATCGACGTAAGGATCTAGAGTGTGTTCTCAAACTGACCAATCTATTGTACGATGCGCATGTTAAAGTCACCTTCGCTTATTTCCAGGAAAAATATTTTGAGTAACAAAACCGGTGTATCGCATGGTACCAACATTTACGAAATTACCAATATGCTCATCAAATGTGTGCTTATCTTTATCTTATATTTCATTAGGTCATTTTCCATAAAAACGTCACTATCAATTTCATAGAAAAGTGTTAGCGTATTTTGAATTATAGGTGTAAAGAATTATTGCGCGGCGGGATCCATCGAGGAAATAAATGCAGTGCTTGTTCTCGGATAATTTCTGCATACACAGGTCTTAACGTTAGACGCAGAAAAATGTAAGCTATCCGTAGCTAAGGCAAGCGAAAATATTATACTCAGATATATTTTTTCTTTGCATTTGTACACCTGTCCATTAGAGCTATTTAACCACGTTGATTTTTCCCTACTGTGAATATAACCTTGCCAGTATGACATTCAGATATACCCATAGAAAAGCCGTTAAAATTTTTAAAAAATGGGCGCGACTTACTAATTAAATTTGCCAAATCTGCATTGAATGGATATTGGAACACCACAGCACCGCAAAACGTCCCAACAACAACGACAACAACTAGAAACAGCACTTTGACCGTCGTTACACGGATAGTGGATAAAAATTAGAGGGTCTAAACTGAAACCAGTTTGGCTGAGATGCAGAATTATGCTCCATTGGTTGAAAAGATTAGGCGAATCATATGTCTAATTGGAGGGTACCACAAGCTATATGACTAAGGAGCTGTCAGTTGTTGTCTTGATGCACCCGCTCGGTTGATACACGTTGGCTTTTAAGGTTGCAAATTAATGCACTGTTTACATTTGCGATTTGAGTATCCCTTCCGTATCTTCACGTAAATTATTTTATAGATAGTTTGAGCACCGATAGTATGCACGGATATCTGAAAAGCCATATTCTAATCAAATGACATTTTGGTATACTTCATGTAACGTTCTAATGCTAGGAACAAAGGTGAGTAAGTTCACCCTGTTACAAACCAAGGGTATGAGGATGTGTTGGGTGGCGGTCTTGCAAGCTCAACTCTCTCAAAAAGCCTTCCCAGAGTGTGGGCATTTCAATACGATTACAACCACTGAAATCCTATTCCCATGTCACCAAATCTGAAAAATAGCCAACGGCAATTTTACACCCATTGATTACATTCAACCCTGAGCTACTGGCTATATCGGCCGGTGTTTCAGTGCAGTTGTCTTTTATCCGGTGTCCAGCGGAGCCTGAAGTAAAATATAACCATTCGTATCAACTAGCCCAATGTAGCTCTGGCTAGAACCAACTACCGCTGGATTGAGGGGAACGGCTAGTATGTTTTTTATCATGATCGGTTTTGTATTTTAAAGTAGATGGCGACGCTGCTGGATTGAATTTGCGGAGTTTCAACCCATTGAGCTGTGACAGCCGAAAGCTCCAAGATTGGGTTCCAGCTATTTTCAGTGCACATTGAGGCCTTCTAGCCCATTCCGTTTACTGTCAGTTGCACCGATAAAAGTGCTTTCAGTTTCGTGCGGTCTGACATAATGACATAATAGTAACCTTTCGTTTGCTTTTTTTACTCCTTCTGTGTGCTTGTCATCAAAAATGGGTGCAATTTTCCTTGGCGCTTATTTCCTGTTGCTGGGTGAATACATCGCCTAATGTGTAAACCTTAGTTAACATGAACTAAAGTACCTGGAGAAATCAGACGAATTCTCTAAACCAGTTTTTCATCATAAAGCCCAGAATGAATACACCCATTTCAAATGGCCATTTCACAAGTCTAGTACAAATGACCTAAGTTAGCGCGCTGACACGAGAGACAAATTATTTATGCCCTTTACAATGAGCTCCAAATATTTTTGAAGCCTATCTCTTGTTGAAACTTTAGCATCTATGAATAAATTGCAATCCGCGTAATTTAGTTCCTGACAAATCGATGCCCCGGTTTTGACAAAGTATGGTATAACTCAAGACAACATAATCCCCAGAGAACTAAGTAATTGTCCCAACTGAAAGTATGTCAGATATAGAAACATGGGTGTACCACTTGCCTCAGCATCATGATTTTAGAGGGAAACAGACAAAACATTCTCAGCAAATAAAGTATTTTGCACCCTCCAATAAATTTGCGGTGGTGTGTACGTCTGTCATCGCAATGCATGCATATCGTCTTGGAGAGCTTGATGCGTTTTGAACAATCTCTCGCTTCAGTGATGTGGGCAAAAGCCTGGATCCTTGGAAATCCCGTAACTCCTTGGTTTAGGCGATTTATTGGCCTGCTAGTCAGGAATTCCCAGTCAGTTGGCGCTACACATGCTTGAAACCTGCTGGACATCTTTTGTTTTAGGTGTAGCTGGTTGCGTGATTTCTAGAATGTATATCTTCATAACATTTTCTTAAATAGTCGTCACCCTGTGCTGGCATAGTCACTTTGATTAGTCCACAACAAAAGGGAAACAATGGATCCGAGTTCCGCTCTCATTAGAGCTCATCAGCAATGCATATTCGGTGATCTTACCGGGATTTGAACTCTGCACCTTGATGCGCCCTCTTCGGTGTCCAGTTACCAAAATGATTACAGGAGGATGACTGTTCAAAAGAGGGACTTCTGAGTATCTATATTCAAAATCTTGCACCCACCGATGCTTGATTTTGTATACACTTGATCACGCTTGTAACGCGTTTGAAAATGAGACTACTGTCATGTACCCATTAACATTTCACATATTATTTATAGGTAATACTCGACCAGTCAATACAGAAGCATCCAGTTATAATACCTGGGTGCTAACACTTAACACATTCTCGATCATAATTGGTTTCGGGCATCACTCATTTGGGTAAAAATTCAACTTGGTAGCACTTGTATTCTTGCTACATTTGGTACTATTTTTTGTTTTATATCAAGTAACATACCAGGCTTTTTCCAGCGAAAGTCATCACGGTTGAATTCCTCCGTGCTTTTCAAAAATTCAACGTCGTCAATAGTTACATTCGCTATATGCACAGGACTAAATGGCTTATTCCGGGCAGCCTGTGTGTTATGAATCTACTGAGCTGACGTGGGCAAGCCTGGAAAAAGGTATGTAAAATAGATCAGGCGTTTCTAAATCAAATGGGACCATCAACAAACAGAACTGAATACAAATTGAGCAAGAACACCTCTTTAAATCAATAGACAATTCATTTCCTTTTCGAAAAAAAATAATGAGTAGCCCCCGTTAAGAGAATCAAATCCGTCACGAAGAGACTGGACCTTATCTTGGTGTGGCGTTTTGTGTATCTCGAAGACCCATTGAGCTATACTGGGGGGTGTCCGTGCGACACTCACAGAGTCTCTCATACCAGGTTGGTCAATAGTTAGAGGTCCGACGAACAGAGTCTCCTGGTCCTTCAGGTTGGGGGTTGGAAGATGCATGGCGACTTGTTCCGTAGAAAAGGTAATGCATTTGCATTTGCCCGCCAAACGCCGCTGCCTTGTGGTTGGGCTTTTGAGCCAAAGGCTTTGGTTGAGGACCCTAATCATTCTCTTGTCCAGGTGTGGGCGCCCTGGCAGTATCCCAGCCCACGTACAACCATGAATTGCACATACACAAATAAACTCATGCCACATCGGCCGTCGCGTTGTGCCATCAGCCAGGTCGCCTTACTTGCTGCA